CCGTGCTACTCGAGGCGTTATGGCCTACGCTCTGCCTCAAGCCTTTGATTGTACGTCTACGCCAGCCTCACCGAGCATGTTTCAAAAGTTTGGATTCTCAATTAGCATGGAAACCTAACTTGGCGTCTTATCAATGTATGGCATGGGCACCACCTGAATCTCGTGGTCAAGCCTTTACTTCTCAGACCCTGTCTATGGTCAAACTCATGTACCAATATAAATAAGAACTGGGTTTTAAAAATTTATTTAATAAAATATTTTAGTTGGCTGTTGGTAGATGATATATTGTGGCATGACTATCCAATTCGAAAGGAAAGTTGTTTGGAAGGAATTCGTGATGTGGTCTCACTGGAAACCGAAGAAGGATTGCCGCATAAAGAAGACTGTTGAATTATCCGGTGAGACCAAATCACAAATTCCGTCCAACCTACTTTCCCTTCGAAATGAAGAGTCATGCCACAGCATATCATCTACCAATAGCCAACTATTTACGTTCTTCGCCGCATCTCTCTCTCTCTCTCTTCTATCCATAATGCGTTATAATTGTCTCACTCACTTTCGTACGAAAGTAGGGTTTCGACTCGCACTAGACGTTTTTTTCGCTTCCGTTTGTTCCTCTGTGATCTCCTTGCGATTTATTTTCCTCAAATTGAATGCATTTACTTGATTTGGTCGTCTTCTTTTTGCTGATCACCTTAAATTTTGCTTAGGCAATTTGCAAAGTTCTCCCTAATCCTGTCCAATTTAAATATTTTAATTAGATTTCCTTCAGTCAGGATATCAATGGTCTCTCGGATCTTGTGTTTTCTCGTATTTTCACAATATATTGAGCCAGTCTTTCTGGCGATTTCCTGTCGATTTCGTGTTCTGTCCGTGCATTGTGTCCCTTTATTTCGGATCTATCCGCATCCATTTTTCCTCAAAATTGTTGATAGTCCTCGATTCGTATGCTGATTTTTCTTTCCGTTTCACCATTATTCTTCTGCTCACAGTTGCCGCGTTTTATGCGTTAAACTCCTGAGCAATCAGGTTTGTCAACCTTGTAGTGTTGCGTCAGCAGACTTGTGAAGAGTGTTGTTTTCTACTTTGTTATCATCTTGAAATTCCGTTTTCTTAGAAATTGTCGCAATTTCAGGCCCGATTCTTTATATTATTTATATAAAATCCTAGTTGAAATCTGCTCTTTTTGATCCCTACATATTTTTCCATAAATTCTCTGGGGTTCCCGTTATTAAGGAAAATCCAAGTCAGTTTTTCCGATTTCTCGTTCTAGAATTCAGTGTCCATTAGTCTTAAGCTTCTGGTAATGAACATTCTCAGTATTTCGATCTTCAGTCTGTAGCTTTGACGGGATCGTAAATTAAGCACCACTCCTGCAAGTGATTTCTTTCTGACACTAGCTTTATCTTCATATCTTCGATTAGATTAGTTGACTTAGATATTTGTGAAAAATTATATAATCTTGTACAACTTCCCCACTTTGGCACTTGATTTGACTTTTCTTGCAATCCTGTTCAGTATCCCGTTATGGATACTGATTATTCCCAAGTGCGGTGGAAACAGCTTTTTGCGGTTTGGCTGAGTAAAATTCAATGTTATCCGGAGGCCTATTAATTTTATTCTAGAAGCTTCAACTACCTTAATATATGGACATCATATTTGTTTTTCTACTCATTTTTACGAACATTTCCATCTGATATATATCTCTCTTTTTAAGAATATAAACGCTTTATCCTCCAAAAATAAATCTTTTCTATACTTATTTATCGTTTTTTACTACGTTCTTGTGCATATTGCATCTTTTTTGACTGGCCTGCTTTTTCATATTCCTTATTTGTG